TGTGTGTGTGTGTGTGTGTGTGTGTGTGTGTGTGTGTGTGTGTGTGTTAAGGATTGTAAAGAAAGGCAAATGTTTTAAACTTGTTCAGCGGCAGAGAGCTGCGCGCGACCTAAAGTCTCCAAACAAAAATATTTCATCAGCTTTTAATTTTTACAACCTTCAATTCAGAAAAAAAAAATCCTACAGAAACTAAAGAATCTAAAATTTTTCTTCCTGAACTTGTAAATCATTTTTACACTGATGTATCACAACGTGTAACAAGATGTGTAGATACTGTAACATTTACTGTTTTTTTTATTTCCTGTCACTTGTGAATTCATGTGTTTAACTTTTAAAAAATGTCACGTTATTTCTTTTCTCAAATGCTTTCTTATCAAGCTGCAGGTGAAAATAAGCCCCCCTCCCTACACTRTGACACACCCCCTGAGAGCAAACATGTTTATTTCTGTGCATCATTCAGCTCTAATAAACAAACAACAAACAAACATCCCTAAAATACACGTTGCACTTAAATCATCCTCTTGAAAAGCTGCTAAAACTCGCAGCCTGTTGTTTAGTTTCAGGAAATGTTGGATYAATTAATGAACTTAATCATTTATTAGATGACTGGTGTTCCATTCTTCAGCTTTTTAAAACTTAAAATCACATTTATTCATAAGATCAAAATGTTTAGAAATGTCTCCCACAGAGTGATCAGGACGGTCAGGGTCAGGATGAAGATGTTAGTTTCCTAAAGGAGGATTTGATCTGAACTTGACTCGATTTKACAAAGTGAAACCTGGTGAAATGTTTGTTCCTGTCTCAGAGACTTGAGGCAGGTAGCGCAGCTCTCTGGTGGCTCACAGAGCCTGAAATCTCACTGCGCATCTGCTGAGTGGAAAAAAAAAGAGGTCCCGGCAGACTTTTTTTTTTTTTTTTTACAAACAAAACAAGCTCAACACCTCTTGAAGGCAGCTCCGTGGTTCCTCTCAAGCGGACATTGGATTTAAAGCAGCAGCAGCGGAGGAGCTGCTTCCTGGCCACAGAACGACCGAGCAGGACGCGGCGGAGCAGCCAATGAACGGAAGCAGTGCGTCGTGACGCAACAGGGGCCCGTAGATAAGGAGAAGGGTCCAACCGGGACCTGAGAAGGAGGACCGGCGGTTTTAGGGGGTCTATAGCTTGGAGCCAGCTCCTCCTCTCTGRCGGTGCGCGCAGACAAACGCACGAGCTGAACAGAAACGGAAACGCGCTCCTCAGACGACCGGCGGGGTTTTATCAAGCAAAGGCCGTGATTTTGAAACATTTTTTTTTTTGGAAAAAAATATATTTGTCGATTTTTCTGAACCATGCAATAAATTGAGCGAAACAACAAATCTGCAAAAACTTGGACTGTTGATCCTGGAGGAGGAGGAAGCCTTGTTCCACCTTCAAATCTCTCTTTTTTTATTAGGACAGCTGCTGTCTGCGTTTTAACACTTCTTCGTTATTTTCTAGAGAAGAAAGTGAGGAATGAAGTCCAAGCCGTGCACACAGCAGAAAGCCTGAAATCCTGCTGCCTGTCAGCGAGGAGGAGGCTCCGCTGCTGAGCTGCCAGCTGATGTTTCCTCCCAGTAAACGGAAAAGAAAAAACAGAAGAAGCAATCGGTGACATGAAGAAATAAAGTCCTACCTGAGAGACTCCAGATTCCGACCAGAGAGGCGGAATCCTCTGAATGAATTAGTCAGAGCCTGTTCATGATGAGAGCTGCACAGAGTCTGCTGACGGCTGCCATTGGCAGATGAGACCTAGTGTGGAGAGCACGTGTCCAAATTTCCCCTCATATTATTTTTTTATTTTATTTTTTCCCCTTGATCTGGATTCTTCACTTGTCATCGACAGCAAAGACAGCAGCCGAACGCAGAGTTGTTTGTGCGTAAAACCGCGCGGGCTTTTCTGCCTCTGATGGACATCTTGACGCGCAGGTCCGGAGAAGAGAACAGCTACAACATCCTCCCCTCTGCGGCAACCATGCTTTTCCACGGCCTCCCCGGGGGCGACGTGCACGGTGTGGTGGAGGAGATGGAGCGGCGAGGGAAGGGCGAGTCGGCGGCCATCAGCTCAGCCATCGATATGGGGGAGTCAGAGACGGTAGGAGACCCCGGGCTCGGCCCGCTCAGCTGCAGGCAGCATGGCCGCCTGACAGCAGCAGCACCCTGCACCGCCTTTTACCTTGTTTGTCATCTCAGCACGAGCAGAAAGAAAGGAAAGACAAAAAGTATGCACATGGTTGTTGTTTTCACCAACTTCCTCCGCTGATTGGTTGCGCCACACATCAGATCCAAAACTTTACTTAGCTGCAGCTGAACCCGAAGAGGCTCTATTTAATTTTAATTTTTTCTTCTTTCTTTCTTCTTTTATTTTTGTGAGAATCAAATTAATACTATCCAAATCTGAAACATAAAGTAACTATTTCATTTTAATTTTAAAAATTGTGCTTTTATATATAT